TTATCTGAAACAGCGGAACATAAATAAAGTTGTCTATCTATATCTCTGAGATGAGGTATTATGATTATTTGCATTATTTACATTATTCAGACTATTATCCTCATCTTCATTGCCATATTCACAACGTTTCGGCTGAAAATAAAGGGTTGGGTTCGAAATTACCGTCATCTGACGAAAGCCGGAGCGTACAACGGCCGAAACGTTATGAATATGGCAATTAAGATGAGGATAACAGTCCGAATAATGTAAATAATACAAGTAATCATAATACCTCATCTGAGAGATATAGACAGATATATAGAGAGACATAGACATAAAGGCCGGAGCATGCAACGGCCGAAACGTTGTGAATATAGCAATGAAGATGAGGATAACAGTCCGAATAATGTAAATAATACAAGTAATTATGATACCTCATCTCAGAGATACAGACAGATATAGAGAGAGACATAGACATAAAGGCCGGAGCATACAACGGCCGAAACGTTGTGAATATGGCAATGAAGATGAGGTCCGAATAAGGTAAATAATACAATAAATAAAGTTGTTTAAAATCTTAATGTTGTATCCGAGGAAATAATTTTCTTTGAAAAACGAAACAATTTACATTTTCACATAAAATCAGTCTCTTTGGTTGGAATTCTACCTTTTGCGTGATTTTAAAATTTTAAACATTTCTCTTGGCATTGAAAAGCACATCTAAACGGCAAAGAACACGTTTGCGTCCAGAACACGTTTGGAAATCTTGCTGACAAGTATATCATATCTATACACGGTAACATCTTCAACTATGAATTTCCCGTGTGCTTTCATAATATGGTTGATCATGGCTCTCTACGACGTCCTGTCTTTTGCTGTTGTAAGTAACATTACAAACACACATTGTCCTTGTTGTCATCCATTCCCGCAGACTCTTTAATTAAGTTCCCCAGTTTGTCCTTTGCCTTCACTATGCCTTGTGAGTGTTAAATTCTCTAAGCACTCTTTCCTCGTTATGCGCACAAGAATGTTTAACTATTTCTATAAGTTTCTTAGTTGTCCTTAGTTTTTTTAAAACTTCCTCGTTGGTCACATATTCTGTCAAATACATTCCCTGCGTTCGTCGGCTGAATCACTTATCTGTCGTTTTAAGTCTCTTCACCTGTGAGGAATTGTACGGCATATATAGGAGATTACCTATTACCTATATAAAGTTGGTCTAGCAGCAGACAGTTTAGAATATCTTTCAAAAAGAATTCAGTCGTAGTAATAACATTAATATTAAAAGGGATTATACAGTAGCCAAGATTTCGTCGCTTCTGATCTTTTAGGTCATAGCGAAAATGAAAAATGATAAATTTAATTTTATTTTTTTACACTCTTTTCAAAATAGATGAGATGAAATATCCGTTGTCTAAATAATTTAATATATAACAACAACAAAATATATTGGTTGTATAAAAATTTTCTGTCAGTAATTGGAGATATTACGTTTAGCAGGATTTGTTTTTAAGAACCAAGTGTAATGGCGAAAGTAAGATTCTTACTCTTAATGGTACGTAACAGAATTATTTTGGACACTATCTACGTTGATACCCATATCAAAATACAGTGGGACGACAGGGAAAAACTGCCACAGTCAACCCCAAAAGCTGCGTGGACGGAAGGTAATATTGTGTGCTGGTGTTTGGAACTAAGAGGGTTTTTCTTTTAGAATTCTTAAAATGCAATGAAACTTTAAATGCACACTTGTACGTTCATCGGCTGCAACGTGGGCATAAAAATGTGGTCGAAAAGTGCTGTGTGCTTGCTAAAAGAAAGATGCTGTTCTTCTTAATGGCAACGCAAGGTTGTATACGACAAGGATAACATAGGAAACATTTCAAAACTCGGTGGGTCTATTCTACTCTACCCGCCATATTTACCTGACTTTGTGCCAACACATTATTACCCTTTTTTTGATCGTTGTAAAACGCTTTGATGTAGGCCAGGGGGTGGGGGTTGTTCTCTGTTCTCTCGTGAAAACCAGATTCATGAGTTCATCGAAAACTTTTTCACATCAACAACCAACAACACCCCCCACTCCATCGTCCGGAATTTTAATCAAAGAATATCGAAATGGTTCCTGGTAATTCGCAAAACGTCTGCAAATAATTGGAAATAGATAACTGAATAAAATCTATTTTACAAGGTAAAATTGCTAAAAAAAAAAAAACCAAATTATTTATTCATTTTTATGTTCATGTCCCCTCAGTATATAGGCGATCATAGTTCTCCACAACTTCCTGAAAATCGTTAGCTCTCATGGTAGGCATTACCAATTCTAAAATGTCTGAATATAAAAAAAAAATTTAGCGATCCCTCCCTAAATCAAATTGATATTTTACATGAATCAACACCTCAGATTCACCGTTAAATGCTATTTTTCTACATGTGCCATGTTCTCTCAGGTCGTAGACGTTCATAACTCTCCACAACTTCCTGTCCTTTATAGCGTTTAATAAACTTTCTGTTATTTCTCCTAAGCCCTGTTCCACAAGCCATTGACTCAAGCTCTTTAAGTATGTTATTCATTGTTTTCCTCTGTACCTCTTGCCCTTTTATCTGTCCCCATGTGTATCAAATTTCCCGAGTCCTCCTTCTTTATTACGTGCCCTAGAAACCTCACCTGTGTTTTCCTAATGTTAAATATTAATTTTCTTTTTGTTTCAATTTTCTCGAAAACTTTGTCACATGTTTAGTGCGCGGTATCCTCAGCATCCTTCTGTAGAACCACATTTCTGTTGCTTCATTTCTTCTCTTCATTTTTTAGGAGATCATCCAGTACTCAATGCCATTACTCAACCTAATAATCGAAATTTGTATTTTACTCCTGCAGACAACAGGTAATATCAATTCCAGCAAATTTTTCCAATTCCAACAAATTTTCCAATTGTTAATTGATGACGTTCCAAACGGTTTGTTGAATTTTAAAAATATTCGGAAAATTATTCCAATAAAGAAAATGTGCTGACAAAATTTCTTCTGTGTGGAGAGAAATTATTTTGAAAACATTGAAGTGAGAAAACCTTAAGCAAAACTATTTGAAAAGACTTTTTTGGAGTTTTATAAGGAACCATTTTGATAAGTAGTATTAAAATGGAATACTGTTAATGGATTCTGGTTAAATGGAGAACAGGTTTCAAAGAAAAGCCGCTTAATAGGACCAATTGCCCAAAAAGCAGAATTACATGTTTAAATTCGATTGTCCTTTCAATAGAAATCCGTTAAAAAGGAACAAGCACTTTAAAGGACCAAAATTTCAATAGAAATCCGTTTAAAAGGACCAAAATTCGTGCAAGCGACGTGTCCCGTTTAAACGAAGTAAATCTTTTGTATAGATAGGGATTTCATAGTCGATAGAATAAAAAAAAAGAACAGATGCATAAATCTCGATAGACATTTTTGCAATTTGGTGGAACAAAGAAAACGGAAATGTCTATATATTCCGTTTTTAATACGGACGAAAGAAAGTTCTGGATGCCAGCATTAAACCCCATTGCCTTAGGTTGAAATCTGTGAGCTGCAAGAAAGATTCGAGTTTCAAGTAAGAAAAACTTTCATCAATTCCCGAAACCTCTTGTTTTATAACAATATCATTTTCTAATTGACTCGAATAAATATTTGAATGAGAATCTGCACCAGTGTTTCTTAAACATTTTAAGTAACAGCACACCTCGGAGCAAATGAAAACACACACTTAGCAACATTTAGCTATATATTTAAATGTTATAAAATAAAACCATAGATTTAAAAAAAAAAAAAAAAACACACACAAATATGAACTTTATTTCAATGTTTCTATTCAACTATTTGTACAGCTTATTTAGTGTGAAACCTGTGCCTGGTGTTTTTTCGCGATTTCTTCAA